TCTCTCTCTCTCTTCCTTCCTTTTTTCTTTCTTTCTTTCTTCCTTCCTTTCTTTATACTTTCCCTTATTGCTTAAGTAATCAATCAATTATTCTTTACACCTATCTATCTATCGATTTTTTTAAAAATTGTTCATACTTCTCTCTTTTATCCCCTGATTTCCAGAAGAAAAAAGCCATTGTGAACATGAGGCAGTTCTTTTACTTAATTCATTTTCTTTTCAGTGCCATCACGTCTTTTCCTGGCGACAAACCCGGCCGATCAGAAACCGATCATTTCCCTGACCACATAGCTTGGCTGTCCAACAGCGTTACTCTGTTGTGTCACTTCCGGAAGCCACAGTTCCAGGAGTATGTCGGGAGTTTGGCGCGGCGTGCTGACGTCACAGCAGCTGTACAAGAAGCGGCCGGATGTCTGGATGAGGTCGTGAACAGTCTGTTCCAGCAGACGGTCTATGCTGTGACCAAGGTAAGGTACACTCAAGGAATTTATAACAAAATATTACGTATCTTCTGCTCAGTTAAAGTAAACGTCTGCGTCAGTGTGTGCGTAATTGTGTGTGCGTAATTGTGTGTGCGTGGGTATGTGAGTGAGTAATTGTGTGTGTGTGTGTGTGTGTGTGTGTGTGTGTGTGTGTGTGTGTGTGTGTGTGTGTGTTTGTGTGTATCAAAATAGGTACACAGATATATAAATAATAAGCATGTTCTTTTTAGTTTGAGTGCATTTTTAAGTGCTGATGTGAAATTCTGTTCCTTACAGAGACACACCAAACTCCTTCTTTGCTTTAAATATACCATGAAGAAACCAGATTGTAATTTATTTATCCCTGGCTTCTATGAGTATAATTGTTCGTTAAGGTTTCTCTGTTCCACAATAATATATTGCAAACAGTTTATATGCATTTACTTTAATTATGTCAGTTGTCTACATGATATGTTCCCAGTGCTTGTTGCGGAATAGAAATAGACTAGTAAAACCAACAGTGTGACTTTTGCCTCCAGTTACTTCTTCTGACTCTCTGCAAGCGTTTTCAGTAGCAATAGGAATAGAAATTGGGGACCGGTAACACGACCCTAACGAAAAATAACTTTTCAAATTTCGTCGTACGTCATTTGTTTTGCGTTTACCTCAAACCTCCATGGTCCATGTCCTTACAGGTCCTGTACGAGCCCATCAACAGCTTCATGCAAGGGGCCATCTCCGACCAGGGGTCAAATGTAGCAACTCAGCGCATAGTGTCTATCCTTCAGGCAACAAGGGAGCTGACCTCAAGGCTGCAACTACATTCGGCTGTTGCTAGGCAACTCATGACCTACGTGCTCTTCTTTATTTCAACCACTTTGTTCAACAGGATCATGGCCAGAGGTAACTATCTGTTCAGTTTTACCTAGGTCTTTGATTGCAATGATTGCTCGTTTATTCTTTTTCAAACAGGATTCCAATGACTGCTTATTTGCTCTTTTTCATAAATGATGAAAGGTGTCTTTCAGATAACAAGTGGAAGACCACAGTGCAATAACACGCTATCACACATTTAATGATTCGCCGTCCACTCAGATTTATCCTTCGCTCTTGTTCAAATTTATTCCTCATCAATAAAGTAAACATATCCATTAACTTCATCAAATCATGTCAACATGTTTTAAGCTTCTTATTTTTCAAGTTTTATCTGGCTTTACAAGACTATTATGTTTTGTAGTTTTTGTGACAAAATCGGCTTTGCCTCTCTTTCTTGAAGGTGCGCAGTTGTACAGCTGGGAGGCAGGGTCAAGACTCCAGACGGATGTGTCTTCGCTGGAGACCTGGGCCAAAGAAGCGGGTTTGGAGGCCGAGTTTGTGAGGGTATCGGAGCACTTTTTGTCTCTTATCGACCTTCTTGCCTCTTCAAAGCGGACTCTACTGAAGGTCGGTTCCTTTAACTACCCCAACCCCACCCCCTTTTATAGAACTACTGTACCAACTAGTAATAAGATTAACACTATAAACAAGCTCTGAAAGCTAAACTACACACGAAATTGGCTCCCATTTGAAACACTGGTAGATTTTTAATCTGACCAAAATATCAGCACGGTGCTTGAACGCTGTTACGACGAGAAATAAATGTAATAATATTTTAATGTGATAATGCTAAGAATAGAACATAAGAATACAAATAAGAATAAGACGACGACGACGACGATGATGATGATGAAGATGATGCTGATGATGCTGCTGCTGCTGCTGCTGATGATGATGATGATGATGATGATGATGATGATGATGATGATGATGATGATGGTGGCGACGGTGGCCTAGTGGTTAGGCTACAGGACTCGTAATCGTGAGGTAGCGGGTTCGTGGGTTCGAGCAGCAGGCCTGACATTGTGTACTTTGGAAAGGCATTTTACACGAATGTTCCCCACTTCACCCAGGTGGGAATGGATACCCAGCTATAGAAAGTGAAAGATCTTGTCCGTTTGTTAGTGTCTGAGCGCTTGACCAGCTGCTTGCACTGCATGCCTCCCGGGAAGCTGAGAATGTTTCTGAGTGTTCTATGGTCTGCTTGGGTAATAATATAGTGTAAAAAGCATAGAGCTCGCTTTCGAGTGGGGACATGCGCTATACAAATGCTACTTATTATTATTTATTATTATTATTTTTATTATTATGACAACGATGATGATTTCTCCCCATCAGCTGGACTGGGCCAGTTTCCAACGTCAGTTTTCGCCAATGAACGACGCCCAGCTGTGTCATGTCCTGAGTCACTACCAGTTAGGTCCCGGGATGACCCCTCCGGCGACCTGGTGCCCACCCCACCCTGTAGATACACATCAGGGTACGTAACCAACTGGCTTGAATGGCTGAACGAAATGAATGCAATACGCAATGTTGGTTTCGGAAGATATAATAATGTCCCTTCCATTTCCTCACCCCTGCACAAGTTTACGAATAACAGTGTTTTTTCTATTTCCTTACCCCTTCACTAAGCTTACAAATAACAATTTCCCTTCTTTTTCATCACCCATGTACTATCCTTACTAATAAGATTTGTTTTTACATGTCCATGTTTGACACCTCAGTTGGCACAGTTTAGACTTATTGAAAAGACGGGGCTTGAATACTATCTCTCAGGATTCATCAAGGCGGAGAGGGATACAACTTCCCTGAAGAAAGATCGAGGTACTAATTAAAATAGGTAGTGTAGGCCGGCGTCTGTTGTGTAGGGGTTAGGCTCTCCGTCGTCTAACGCGGGTGAACATAGTTCGATTCCAGTGTGGGGAGGATTTTTAATGACCATCTCGGTCTTTCTGCTGGGACGTTGTTGTATCCCTTTCAGAGGTTGACCCTGACAAGCAGTGTTCAAGCCAGTTTTTATAAAATTGGTATCAGTTGTGTCAACTGGATTGTAAAGCATGGACATAAAAAACAAACGTTAAGGGTGGTGCATAGGTGAGATTGATAGAAGGGACATTGTTGTTTCTTGCACATTGTGTTGCACCCACATTTTGTTTCTCTCTCTTATATATATAT